GAGTTTTCTTTGGCTTTGTGAGAGAGATGTGCAAGTTTGTGAGTTTGGGTTCTTCCCCCATAACTTTTCACTGATCGGTTTTTTATGTTTTTCCAAAGACTCTTCACTGTTCTTTACTCATTACTCCTTGATGGCATGTTTATTAATCCGTAATTAGATTAGGATGAATTGAATTGAAAATGAGCTGGATTGAGGAGAATTAGATTCCAGATTCCTATTCAAGTTGTTTACTAAACCATATGGATTGAGGGAAGTTAGATTTTGAATTTCTATTGAAGTTGTTTACTAAACCATATGGAATTGGGGTAGGAGTGATTCTAATTACTAAAATGTCCTCATTGTTGGGTTAAAGTAAATGACAAATTTTAAAAATTTAAAATTGTGTGAGGATATAACGGGTAAAAAGATAAATTTCTAATAGGTTTGTTCTCTAGGAATTAGAATATCACTTCCCACCTAAGAATTGAATTCGTCCAAAATTAGGAATTCAATTCCTAATTTTGTGTGGGCCCCACCTACTTTTTAATTCGTTGATATGAAGTAAACACAGGAATCCTCTATAGTTAGAGTTCAATTCCTTATGAGAATTCCAATTCCTGATTAGTAAACATACCATGAAAGTTTTTTTTTTTAGAATGTAGATATTTGTAAAATCGCTTAAATATCCAACCCACTTTCTGTAAAACTAAGAGATATTTAGTCATATACCCATTCTTAGCACTAAAACTATAAATAAACCTTACACCATTTAATTTCTATAAACAAACCCAAAACATGACAACATACCCTATTGAATTTAATTTTGATTATTAAATTACTTTGATGCTCCATTGAATGTTTTAGGCTTTTTTTTATGAGGTTTTGAGGTTGTGTTTGTTTTAAGAAATCAATGACACTTTTGTAATTTAAAAGAAATTAAAAGCCTTTTTATTATGTTGTAAATGAGCTTTGCTCGTATTTCTAAAGTCCATTTCATATATGACTTTTTTTATAATTTCGATTCTTATACACAAAATGCAAAATTTCCAAAGAGACGAAGACTCTGACTGCAATCTTTCAAACCCCAAAAGTCTTCCCAAACCGTCTTCCAATCAAGAAAATGAAGACAAAGACTTTGAGTCAAGTCAAGAGTATGGAGGACTCCGAGCTTTGTATAATGGAGAAAAGAAAAGTTACTAACTTATCATACCAACGGGAAAAAGCTACCATACATATAGGAGGGAAAATACTTCTCTCTTTTCCTGGAAGTAGGAGCGAAACTTCTACTTTCTAATTTGACATGTGATTTGCATACCTTTTTACGGGAAATGATAGAAGCAGTGTCCATATAGGAATATTATTGGTTTTTATTTTAATTTTCTTTAATATGAAAAGTTGTTAATTTACTATATGCTCCTTATTTAATAAAAAATATTTTTGATATTTTGAATGGTTCAGTGTATTTGTGAGCATGAATTATTTGGTCACAAGAAATTACTGACCTTTTTTCTTCTTGTAGTGACCCACTGAACATGCACCAAGAAAATAAAATATATAAAAAAAGTGTCCAGCATATAGTGCATTTCCATCCATTTCATTACTTCGGTGCAGAAAATTAAAAAATTACATTTAAAGAGACAAAGACTTTGACTCGTGTATGGAAGGCTCCATCCATTTCATTATTTGTACAAGTCTTTGTCCATAGAATAAGACAGCCACATGAGGTGAAAGAGGTACATTGGTAAAAAGAGAATCTGAACCCCTAGGTGATGACTTATTTTCATTTCATTTCATTAGTTCATCCAGAAAATGTAAAATTGGCATTTAACTTTAGAGAATGAGAGACAAAGACTTTGACTCAAAAGAAAAGTGATGATACAAGAGATCCGAAAGACCTATAAGAAAGGCACTGCCCATACGAATAGCACACAAACAATAACCATGAGATCTTTAACTTCTGTTAAAGTATGCTTCCTGGCTTATTGCCTTACCTTCTTGTATGTTTCATCACCAAATTGGGTTGCTTTTGCTTCTAATACGGAAGCAAAGGCTCTTCTCAAATGGAAAGCTAGCTTATTTCAAAACAAGGCCCTCAATATTCTCACCTGGCGGTACCCTCCCAGTAATAATGCCACCAATTCTTCCACCAATCCAAAAGAACATACAGTCACATGCACTTGGACCGGTGTTTCATGCAACACAGCTGGAAGTGTTAACAAGATAAACCTCTCCACTTGTGGTATACAAGGTACGCTACTTGAGTTTTCATTCTTGTCCTTCCCGAATCTTGAACATCTTGACCTCAACAGGAACAAACTCTTTGATGCCATCCCACCTCAAATCAGTTACCTCTCCAAACTCCACTATCTTGATCTCTCTCTCAATCAATTGTCCGGGAGAATCCCATCAGAAATCGGTCTCCTAAGAAATCTTACCTTTCTCGGTCTCTATGAAAATACATTCTTTGGGGATATTCCCAAGGAAATAGGTAACCTCAAATCCCTTGTGGAGCTATATTTGTATAAGAATAAAATCAATGGTTCAATTCCACGATCACTAGGCAATCTAACAAGCCTTACCCATCTTTATCTCTATACCAATCAACTTTCTGGTTCTATTCCTAAGGAGATAGGTAACATGGAGTCTCTTGAAGATCTAGAGTTGTCCTCCAATACTTTAAGTGGTGTCATCCCTCCAAATATTGGTCACTTAAAAAAGTTAAACACTTTGTACTTGTATACCAATCAACTCTCTGGTTCTATTCCCAAAGAGATAGGGAACTTGAAATCTCTTGTGGATCTACAATTGTATGAGAATCAGCTCAATGGCTCAATTCCAAGATCACTATGCAATCTCACAAGCCTTACCAATCTTTATCTCTATGCTACTCAACTTTCTGGCACTGTTCCCAATGAGATAGGTAACATGAAGAGTCTTGTGATTCTAGACTTGAGTGGGAATCAACTCAGTGGTTCAATTCCAAAATCACTAGGTCATCTAACTAGCCTTACCCTTCTTTATCTCTTTGGCAATAAACTTTCTGGCATTATTCCCAATGAGATATGTAACCTGAAGTCTCTCGTAG